GATTCATCAGATGAATAACTGCAAGAAGAGTCAAGAGAATCTGACAACCTAGCCTTCCCCCTTGCTTCTTGCTCAATTTCACGTAAAGCTCTAAGATATCCGCGCAAAGAACGTCTTCTTAAAGTTCTCCTTGATGGTGGTTTTCAAATGCTGAAGAAAGCGGCAAAAAACAACAGATTTACCGGATTTGCAGTCGCAGTAACGAGAGCTCGCTTGCAGGTGTTATCAGCAGATTGCGCTACGTCACAATGGCACCACTGTCACACCTGCATGCACTCACGAGCTGTGGACGGGCGTCGGCTGTCGGCAAGAGCAAGCAAAAAATCGATAAGCCAATAACCTATCGATTGCGTCATTATCCCAGCCAACGACAACCAAGCACGCGAGAAACGCGCGTTTGCGTATTACGCTAACGCGCGCAATGCTATTAGGGTATTAGGGTAGTGACTGCATCCCATAAATACTCCATCTCCCTGTGCATGAAGTTTTCTTTTCTACTACTGTTTATGCTAATGTCCCTGATGAAGAATCCGCGACAGACTTCGAAACGTCAAAAGAATAAACTTGTTGTTCCAGTGATCGCACCTTCTTCTTCTTCTCAATTACTTCCTGGGACTCGCATGTTCGCTTGTACTGGCAGTCAGTGTTTCAGATTTGTGTATCTGTCTCGCTGTCAAGCAGGGAAAACCGATTCCTGCTAGTTAAGTAACGTAGAGAGTACTCCTGTAGTGCCTTTGTGAACGCTTGTTGTGACTAACTCAAGTCGAAGTGGACTTTGGGAACGCTTGCTGCTTCCGGCCTCTGGAACAATCAGTCAGAGGCCGACTCACACAGGACCTCATGTGACGAGCGCCGAGCAGACATCACTTCAGACGCCATCCATTGGCTTGTGGTTGGGCGGTCGTCTGAAGGTCAATTTCCTACTGTCTATTCTCCCATTCATTCGATACAGAATTTACTCTTCCTACCAGTCTGGCCTCCCCGTCACTTCTCTCTCCTCCTAAGGAACCGGGCCTGGAAAATCGCAGCCGTAAAGGTTAACCTTAATAGTCTTAACACCACGTGAAAGTCCTCCTAAGAGCGCAAGGTTATCAAATATTGGAAGTAACTGCCAGGAAACGCTTCGGCCATCGGAAGCGCAAAGGCGAGTTGCGGGCGTAGCAGTCAACACGAAGATGATGATGCGATCACTGGAACATCAAGTTTAGTGATCTGACGTTTTGTTTTCACACTCGAATCCATCATCAGCAGAGACAATCGCAGTGTGTGTTCCGTAGCCCATTGTTGGATCAGGAGTCCCCGCCGGAATCCAAACTGCTAGTATCTGGGAGACGGAGAAAAACCGAGACCTTGACCGGCTTGAGCAAAATGTCCGCGAAGGAGAGTTGAGTGCCTGGCTGGGAACTGCAGGCGAACAGATGCTGACAGTCATGCGGAGAAATGCTGCGGTCGGAAGAGCATTCGGGTGTGGACGGATCGAGCCGGTGTTGGTACTGGCAAAGACCCAATGGGTAACCACTGTGTAGTTGAGACAGTCGCAGTCGCAGGGGTAGAAGAGGCACGAGGAAGTGACAGAGAGGGATACGCTTCATTTTGAAAAAGATCAGTCCAATGTTTTCAGCAAAAAAAGGTACTCTATTCAAGAGGAATAAAATTTGGCGCACAAACGACACCGGGAAATCAGAAGTAATCCATAATCGCCACTGACTGCACTTTGCGACATGATGGATAAATGTCCTTGGTGTAGTCGTCAAATATATGCCAAAGTGGACCGCTTACAGAACGGCGTTTGCGTCTTAACCTCACACGATTGGTGAAAATTAATCAACGACTGCAAACGTAGGTCGTCCGCGCACTCCGCACATGACTGATTCCCCTACCCTGGGTAAAGTCTCAACACAGAATATAGGCGCGAGCGCGGTCATTGTGTTTGTTAAATAACTGCGGGTGTGGCTTACGGCGCGAGGACCTCGGTCTCATGAGACATCTGTTGGCTGAGCGGCAACTCCACTGGATCAAAACTGGGTCGCGGCACGCGTTGCGAACCCATATTCCACAGTTACACCGACGAGGTCCGGCGTATGCACTGTCGCAATTGGCACAGAGATGGGGACCTGCGCGTTAATTTGATGACAGTGAGAGTAGACTTGTGCTACACATTTAGCGCACTCCCCCTCCCACACCTGTGTTCGGTGTCGTGACCAAGCTCTAAATCAATTCCCCAAGATCTTGTTGCTTTGCCGGTTCAGGCACGGCAATTAATGAAATAAGCAGAATTCTTTAAAACGCTCACAATATGCCTGGGACCTTCACTTTGCCAATAATAGTAAGCGTGGGAAATTATGGTGGAATTTATTTTGATTCATCTGGAGATTTTGCCTCTCAAGGGAGCACATTTTGTGACACCAATATATTTACTGATTGATTTACAGTATTGGACGCATAGGTCTGTTCAACTGAGATGATTAGGACAAGCTTCGCTGCCTGTCCGATTTTGGTGTAGCACTGAATACACAAGCATCGATGAAAAATGGTTTGGAGAGTCGCCAGATACAGCCCTGTAGCTCTGTTTGAATGTGCCAAAAAGAGCCCGCCAGTTTTGCCAACACGGCGATTACAAGTCATACAAGCACACACATACATCCCTTGGTTAATTTGTCCTGACTGGCGGCAATAGCTCATAGAAGTTTAGACTTGTGTTTACTCTGTACTGGTGGACCCGACTTGGACCAATATATATGAACCTATCATTCTGTGGCAATGTTTATTGGCGTTTATGTCGTCCTGCGGTGCGCACGAGGTTGGCTACGACAAAGGCAACAGAGCTTCATCGCATGCAACGACTCATAGCACCAACAATCCTTACCTGATCCAGCCTGCGATTCCATGAGATCACGGGAGATGAGTTGCGCATTGGGCACACATCCGCACGGTAAGACACTCCGAGCAAAAAGAAGTTGTCAAGACAACTCGGCGTAACCGCATGCGGCGCCAAATTCGCTATCGCGGGAGCTGAGAGTTAGGACGGGCATGCAGCCAATACGCGCAGGCACAGACGAGAGGGATGAGCCAATCAGCTGGCGCTGTGATCGGACCAATCATAATTAAATAAGCAATACAGAGCGATATAAAAGCGAAAATGCCAGCAGCTACACCATACTCGGAACTGCAGCAATTATCCCTGTTTACGCTCTCACTCACACTCCCTATATTGCAATGTACTTCGGCTATGTTCTACGTCTCACTGTCCTACTGCTTCTCTTGCTCCTGCTTCCTTCGGCGAGTTATGGTTCGGTTT